GACAGTGACCGATAACTCCTTGAATATACGCGGCCAATGACCCACCCGAAGGCAAGCATTAGCCAGCACGATGAAGAGCGCAAGGACGTGTTTATCCTTGAGCAGCTCCTTTAGGTGGACCCATGTAATGTGGTCCGGTCCTGGTGCAGAGGAGTTGGAGCACCCCTTAAGGGCACTCAACAACTCATGCTCCGAAAAGTCAGCCTACTCACGGACCGGCTCATCGGGAAGCTCATCTAAGACTGAGGCATCGTACTCATGACCAGAGGCCGAGTTGTACGTGCCGTGTAGGGCGTCCCAGAGGTCGTCCATATCGTGGCAAGGCTGGTCGCCATTGCGAATAGCCTCACAGGGTGGTAGCTTGCGCTGTTTGACCCATTCCATTAGGTCCCACGGGCGCTTGCGAGAGGTAGCGATTTCTGCGATGCGTTCATCAAAGAAATCCTGCTTGGCGTCTTTGCACGCCTTCTTAAACTTGTTGTAGTCAGCAAGCAAACGGCTCAGCTGATATACTCCGAATGTCTCCGAGCACTCATCCGTCCACCAGGACTTGGAGCGCTTGGTAGGTTTGGACTTGGTCGAATGGACAAGCCATGCGTCCGAGAACGCGGTCGCAATAGCATCAGCTAAAGCTTCAACGCCTTCCTTGGTTGCCGGGGCTGCGACAGGAATAGCCGCAAGATCCCAGAGAATATCCGAAATGAAAGACTTCTCAGCCTCGCTTCCGGGTTTAATTGTCCGTCGCCCAGATCCGGGCAGTTCGGGACCGATATCAAGATCTGTACAGATTGGGACATGATCTGACGGACCCTGGAGATTGTGCTCCAATCTGGGCATCGAGATTAGAATCTCAGATGGAGCTAAGAATACAAGATCCAACACGTTGGATCTCTGGTTTGGATTAGGACTGATCCTCGTCGGTCCATGGTTAGAAGGTCGTGCCCACTCGAGGCCGATCTGAGATGCGGTATCCTGCAGTGATATTGCTGTCGACGACTCGCCATGCTCATAGTCATCCCAAGTCGTCGACACACAGTTAAAGTCACCAGCCATATAAATGAAAGGAGGTAAAGAATGCACATGAGCAGCGAGGTGCTCAATGGCTGTGTGTTGATCGTCAGAGTAGACGTTCATTAGATTAAGAGCCTCACCCCCACTAAAGAGGGAGAGGACGAGGATGTCGCGGTGGTCGACGATGTCGCGACGCATAGCGGGACGATAGCGGGAGAGCCTAGTCGAAACGTAGGCGATCACGCGGGGAACTTCCCCTTCCTTAATGCGCACCATTTGCAACCAATCGGGATGCTTTGGTGCACCAATAACCA